GTAGTGAATTTTTGTACGCTTAGGCTTTTCCAAAAAGTTCTCTCTCTCTTAGAAGAGGATCGTTGGCATATACAGTCTGTAATGGGGTGTGTCAGTGTGGTAAATAAAAGGAAAATGCCTTAAAAGGATAGGTTCTTTTTTTAAAAAAAAAAAAATGACGTGGAGAGGTTTCTGCTTTTATTGGCTGTAACTCTTTTACAGAATTCTGAACAACCCTGGACTCAAAAATGACTTTCCTCAATAGGCAAATCAAATGTTTTGATAATGTCTCGTTCTTTTTGATAATTAAACAAAAATCATGAGCCCTATGATTACTATATAAGCCAGTGGATGATAATGGTAAAGATGATTTATTAAACTTGTATGCTGCCCAAGTCTCAATGACCCTGGATGGCTTATAATAATAAAACAAAAAAATGGCAATAAAAACTTAAAAAATAGATGGCAAGCACAATGAAATGAAGGCTTTCACTCTCCCTTGCCAAAGCCCTGGCTGGAGAGCCAGGTTTTTATGGCTCTTTTAAACAACAGCAGAGTGGGGGGGGGGGGCAGACCTCGTCCCTGAGGGCAGGCAACACTAAACAGAAGGCATGTTTCTGAGATCCTGAGCGATGACATTATTTAATCAAAGGAACCTGGATCACACCAACTCTGCAGAATCAAATCCACAAGGTAAATATTATGAGAGACAGGATGTCCCTCAAGTTACCTATGCCATGTACAAATGAAGGAATAGTTAAGATTCTGTTGCAAATATACTGAGAATTGAAGTATCTTTATTTGAAACCAACGTACTATATACCTTGGGTACATGAAAAAGACATATTCAAAAAGAAAAAGAGTGAGATGTAGATTTCAGCAGCTCCTGAATGGTTCACAGTCATGTACATAGTCTTCTGTGCAGAATTAACAGTTGAGCATTTTTTAAAAAAAATCTTGCATAAATAGAACAGAAATTGATAATTTGCGGTTGATCAATTATTTTAACAAGGAATCCTTATCATTCAAATTAAATTAATGTAAATGTATCTAAATTTGAAGTATTAGTTCACCAAAAATGAACGATCGACAACAAATATATGAAATGTTATTAATGCTGGGTGATGTGTGGATGATACTTTTTAGAAATACCTTGCAACATCTACTTGGTGAGGCATTATAAAAATAAAATGAGACATTTCAATGGCATTAATGGCTGCAGTATTTCAATGTGTATTAGGTAAATCATTTAGATAAATTATTATACAACAGAACATTGTACCATTTCTCACTCAATAAGATCTAGTAGGGTGGGATGGACCAAGTCTTAGCTTCCTGTTCTTTGATTTCTTGTTTTAAAGGTTTTCTTCTAGCATGGAAGAAAATGAAGGACAGGTTGTTTAGCATGTAGCCTAGTAAAATTCTTTGACTTCTGTTTTTCCTTGATCTCAGTGCCTTAGGCAATTTTAAAATATTCAAAATGAATATTTTTGAAAATATTTTATTTATATTTATAAATTGGAAACAGCTCCCCCAATATCTAAGTATAATCTCCAATTTGTTCTTCATTTTCCTTCTGTGTAGGATAGAGAGTGATGTTCAAATTATACTATTATTTCTGTCTTTCATTATCTACTTTAGTAGTAAATACAGAACAGACAATAATGTTCTTCTTCATGACATATACAATGCGTTTTTTGAAAGTATTACTGCAAGGTTATGATGGAAACTGGGAATTGAGAAAAAATCATGGAGAGTTAGCCTTTCACTAGCCCAGAGGTAGGCAGCCTTGGCTCTTTTATGACTCGTGGACTTCAACTCCCAGAATTCCTGAGCCAGCATGGCTGGCTGGCTCAGGAATTCTGGGAGTTGAAGTCCACGAGTCATAAAAGAGCCAAGGTTGCCTACTCCTGCACTAGCCAATATCTGAGACTGGGATTTCTAAAGCAGAATGCCTATGAATCCCAGACAGTGGGGGTAGCAACAATGTTTGAAGACGTCTCCTTTATGTTTTGAAACATCTAGCAAGTACCTTTGCTAAACTATAGCATAGTTTTAAAGTCGCATAAATGTACCATAAAATGTAGAACCGGCAAATTGTATAGCTGAATTGCTTTTTAAGGTACTTGTAACACAGTAATATTGGTCATGGATGCAATGCTAGAAACAAATATGGGTAGTCCATTTCAACATAGTCTTCTAAAATGTTGCTATTTGTTCATTGAATAACGACTTAAAACTGATTATGAAATCCATTGTCATTTACATATTGTAATAGAAATTTTTCTTCTCATGTGTATATTTAAAGCAATTAAAATAGTTTTTAAATGTTAATTTAGTTCAACAGATGAAATATTTGCTTTAGTATTTATATATGTTTTGATTTTTATTACCATATTAGTAAGATACCAGTTAATAACAATAATCCAATTGGAACTTGATTTCATGTAGGCTATTAATCTATATCACATTTAACCAGACACGATCCTGAATTAAGATAATCTCCCCACAAGGAGATTTCCCAAAAAGGAAAGTAAATTGCTCCTCAAGTAGCCCTGATAGTTGTATTGTAGCCTTACAAATTCCTGGAAAACATATTTTCAGCTGGAATTTTTAATATTTAATTTTTTGAATTTCTACAGCCTGCTTATAAATCTTTTAATAAGCTTGTCTATTTCTAATGAAGTTTATTATCAGTAAGACCTGTACCAGGATTTGCTAAGCCATAAAATGAAAAAGATCAATAAACAGTATGTGTAACCTATGGGAAAAGCTATTAATAATTTTAATAAAGCTGTTAAAACACTTTATTATCAGTACCGGTATTTATTTTTAATTTTTTAATTTTATAATTCATTACTATTTTTTGCTCAATATTACAGAGGTAAATTGAAATGGAATAATTATTTGTTAAAACTTAAAAGTTCTTTTGCCTAATCTGTTGGAAGTTCTATCTGGCAACTTCCAGAGACAGCCAATTTTTTAAGTTATTCATTTACTTAATATATTCATTCATAGCTCATCTTTTTACTGTGGCCCTATCCCTACATTTCTTTTCTGAAAGCCATATACTGTAGGTCTGATTATTTCCTGCATCTCATAAACGGCTGCTTATTCCTGGGCTAAGAAAATAATTTTGTGCAAAGCTTAAGCTAGTTGACAGCAAATATTGAACAAAAAGACAATATTTCTGAATTAGTTTGGGAGAGTGGCTATAATTCAACCCCACCTCCCTCCAATGTAGTACTGGAATTCATACAAAAGCATCAGCAATGATGGTTCCCGTTTGAACACATTTGCAAAGGGCAGCCCATCACCTCTCTGATTTATTGACTCCACAGTTGATTGCTGTTAGAATTTTTTTCTTAACAGTTAACTGCAATCTGTCTTTGTATTAAAGGGGCACTCCATGATCTGCCAGACATTGACCAGCTAGGCAGTGCTTCCTGACACATTCATCCCAGATGGCCAAAAAAATATCTTTGCTTCCTGAGTAGAACATGCCTCATGGCACATAAACCAAAACAGCCTCTCTTATGGCCAGGAAAACAAAAGTTTAATCATTTCAGAATCCTATTTCAGAATACTGTTCCTATTTAAAAGGCCTTATTTTGAGACATGTAAGAGGGATTGGATTGGATTGGATTGGATTGGGGGGGGGGAAATGACTGCAAGATGTACCTGGTAAGCAGGGAACATGGCCTCAGGAACATCCTGGAAATCAACAGAAAAAAGCCCTATTCTGAAAAGCAAAGAGTAGTGCTCCAGCTCTATGGAAGAGTAAAACTATTTGGGTTGATTGTAAGCAGAGTTAAATTGGTTTCTTTGAAAAATGGAGAAAAGGGAAAGAATTCCATATTGGGACTCAGACAGCTCCTAAGCCTGAAAATTAATTTTAAATTCTGGGTAGATTACATAGTTGTAGTACCAAATCTGTGCCCATAAAATATGTTCTTTATTCAAAATACCGGTAAACATTAGTTCTTTACTATATTTGCGTGATTCTCTTTTTTATATAAATGTGAATAAGTAAGCTTTTTTATATTAAATGATGTGTTGGCTGTACTAAAGCATGCTGTGGGGAATGCTGTGCTTGCTGAAGAAAGTGTATCAAACTGTGTAGGATTTATGCTGTCTTCAGCTTCTGCATTTATGAGCTGCTCCAGACCAAAGTCTACTACCCTGTTTTTTCCTGCAGTGATATCATTGGAGGTACAATTAATGTTCACTCTTTTAAGTGGAATGAGTTTTTAACCAATTAAATTAAAAATTGTTTGTTCCTTGAAGTCAAGGACTTAAGTATTTAAGTACAGTAGTCACTTCTGAAACACTATAATTAGAAAACCTCAAAGGAATTGATGGTAATAATGTTGGAGAATGTTGGCCCCATCCTTGCTCTTGAACTCTTTGAATGTAGTTATTCATAAAATAACTGTAAAAGTCATCTGTTTAACTTGTTTTGTCAGAATTATTAATAGTGTTAAGTCTGTAAAATGAATTAGTGAGTTGAAATACTTTTTTTTTAAAGGAGGACAGCATTTGATGGAATGTTTGTATTCTACCTTTTGCAAATATATTCCTTTCCAATTTATTTTATATCTTATAATATCTCTAAATGTGAGTATTATTTTGTATATATAAGAATGTCTGAAGGATATTAACTTATCTAAGGCCTGGTTAAGAGGGGTGATTTGAGCCAGATGCTTCATGGGTCACCTCTCTGGCTCTTAGACCTTACGCTGCATTAACTGTCCAATGATGTAAAAAATGTCTCTGTTGTGAAATAATTTTCAGCACTATCTTCAGTTCATTAACAACAAACATTTGTACCAAGTGCTAAATTTATTTTCAGCTCTTAAGAGATCTTAAGATCAGCATAAAGATTGATGCTCATTTCTCTTCTGTAATGAATCTTCTCTCTCTCTTTCTCTTCCTCAGGAAAATGGAATAGTTTTTTTTCTATGTGATGTTTATCAGAGGAATGACAATTCATTGAGACAATAGAGGAAAAGGAATCCGGGATGGATGGCTTAGTTAAGCAGAAAGATGTGCTTAGAAAGCATAATAAGGGAATTGACACCCAGAAGAAGAATGGGTTGATTAACACAAGGAACTTAATGGCTGAAAACAGGGAGGGGTTGGTATCTGTGTATCCAACTGCTCAGTATCAGGGTCGGCCAGTTGGGACTCTCTATCCCCCAAATGACCCAATACAACAGCTTCTTGACCCCAGTACTCTACCACAGACAGTAGAACCCCGCTATCATCCAAACATCATCCTCTATTCAGAGAGCATGCTACGATCATGGGGAGAAAGCCTGAGTGCAGAATGCTGTGAAACAACCTTTATTGAAAACAAGTCACCCACCAAAGGCTGCCTGGATTATCCTGAAGGCAAATTTGTCAGTCTATCCACAGATGAGATTAAGATCCAGACCCTCTCCTATGATGTGGAAGAAGAAGATGACGAAGACGATGACTTCCAAGAACTAGAGGTCAGGGAAGTTTTCTTGGTATATTGTCAATTGCAAATAATATGATAGGATAAATTGTGGTAGGATACATTCCGTTTTAAAACTTGCTAACGGTGTTAACATTATGTAAATAATGAAATAATGCCCACCCACAGAAACGGCTTGTTAAATTAGATAAATCACTGTCACTCTTCCTTTTCATTTCCTTTGTTGCAACAGGTGTAACAGCACCATTCAAGTAGTCCCAAAGCAGAGAGAAAAAGGATCCATATACAAAGATGATCCCTACTTTGCCTGGTTGACTTCATTTTTATCAGAAGCCAAATTCAGAATTGGGAGGTGTGGGCAGGAAACTCTAATTAATGAGGTGTTTCTGTCCAGGGTGACCCTTTTAGGATGCAAGAATCTATTGTGTAGACAGTGTTAATTCAGAAAGAACGGGTTCTTCTGATTGTAGAAGTTCAGGAAATACTGCCCTATTTGCTGGACTGATGGTTGGGACAGAAATAAAGGTGAGAAAGTTGTTTTTAACACATGCAGTGGCCAACATGAAAAGTGCAGAGCTCCTGTAACTTTGCATATAAAAAGGTTGCATCAGGTATGGTTTACATGATAGCAATAGCAATAGCACTTAGACTTATATACCACTTCACAATGCTTTTATAGCCTTCTCTAAGTGGTTTTACAGAGTCAGCATATTGCCCCCAACAATCTGGATCCTCATTTTACTGACCTCAGAAGGATGGAAGGCTGAGTCAATCTTGAGCCGGTGAGAATCGAACTGCCAAACTGTAGGCAGCTGGCAGAAGTAGCCTGCACTATTGTATTTTAACCATTGTGCCACCATGTCTCATAATAAGCTACAAGCTATACCTTTCATACTCTAAAAACTGTATTTGGATAGGTTTCTTGTATGTTTATGTAACTGTGTTTTCATGGAAATGTACAAAATCAGTATAGATAGGGCAAATCTCTGAAATAATTCTGAGATATACAGATACTTAGAACATAAGAAATGCTTCCTGGGACCAAGATTTTAGGAGGATTCTGCAGCTAATAGAAGAAATTGACCAATCTTATTATGTACTTCATGGTTCATAGGAAGAAATTAAAATAAGAAGTCAGCTGATGTGCTCATAAGTGTGAATCAGCCTTTAAGATATCCAAAACTGCTGGTTTATTTAGTTGGTTCGCCTCTTAAAACTGCAAAAATTATATACCAAAATGTAAAAAGAATAAATTGTATAATTTAGAGCACAATATGGAATAGAATAGAAAGATTCAGACATTACTGAAGCAGCATAAGAAGTGCCATGTTGTTTTTGTGACAAAATGTAGCTTTATATTCATTGTGCTATATTGAAAAGCTCAGTTCCAACACAACTATTAAAGCAAATCTATAGGATATAATTAATATTGTGTATACTGTAAAGTAAAATATTATTAGATGTTTCTCTAACAGCTGCTTTTTAAAATCTAAATCCTTTATTTGGGTTTATGAAATACTGTATACCTAAATTAGGAGTGGGAAACAATTCAAGTGCTAAGCATGCTTGTTGACCTTATGTCAAATATTCTAGCAGGAGGAATTAATCTCAACCCCAGCAGTCTGATGTGTTAGGATTAAATAAACAGAAGTGGCTTTCTTACTTTAGATTCTGGCCATGCCCATTGTTGAGTTTGGCTCTATCATTGCCAGCATATTCTGAAGGATTGTGCTTTCCAAAACAGTGTATTGGCTCTGTTCCAATAGATTTATTCCATCTTGACAAGATTATAGATAGTAAATGTGAGCTAAAAAAAATCATTTATCATTTTGTCCTGATTTTTTTTTGTCCTCTCCTGCTTTTAAAGACTAATCCAAGTCAGTTAATTCCATAGAAATCAATTGATTTCAATTGAGGGCATTTAGTAAATAAATTGATGTATTATTTCTAAAATATTTATTGTGATATATACTTGCATGTTTTTGTGATGTTTATGAAAGATATACTATATTGGACTTTAAGGTACGATAAAAATATTATTTTCTTATAATGGGCTAACAGGAAAATGTAAACACTTTAGCATCTGAATGTTTTATTTTGTGGGATTCTTATCTGTAAATTGATAGCTGTATTGATGCATTGCAATTTTTATGGTCCCTTACCATTAACCATAATAGGTAGGCATGATGTTATTCAACAATACCTGAATGAATATCTGGTATGCATACTTGATTTCAGATTTGATATTCTTACCAAAATACCAATTTGTTTCCAGAACATTATTCAGATGCAAATTTCTTGATCAATAATTTTGTTATACAGCTGCTCCGAGGATCTTTTTCTGTTTCAGCAATACATTTACTGTAGCACCCAGCCAATAAAAAGTTCAATACCAAAAAAGGAGCAAATTATAATAGGTAGCAAAACAAAAATAAGTATTGTAGGTCTGTGTGCTTTCTGGATTTCAATTTTAATATTTTTGCAGTAGCAAAAATAAACCCCAAAATTACTTTTTTTTACTAATATAAAGATAATATACATTCTGTGGATGCAATCCTGCTAATGTTATAATTAAAAGAAAAAAGAAAAAAAATGAAATTCACATGAAATTGAAAAGTACTGTGTTCTAATTCTTCATTGATTTGCATTCAAGCATACAAGGACATCACTCTTGTCTTTAAAGCTCTTGTCTTTAAAGAGCTTAAAATGTTGCAGGGAGGCACCCGGAGTGGAAACCAGCTTTGTCTCTCTATGTGGGAGATACAATCAAATAATATTTTAAAAATGTAAATGAAAATAAACATTAAGAAATAAGATGCATTGATGGTTCCCGATAGCTGTTTAATAAAAGGATAAGTGTTCACAAAAGGGTGAGGACTTCTTGATGGCTTACTTGCATTGTATGTTGGAACAAGTATAAAAGGCTGGGCTTTGTGCTGCAATATTGATTGCAGCAATAAAGGTGTGACTCATTGTGGCTTGTATTGGCTCTATAAGGACTTACAGACTCAATTTATAATACTCGCCTAACAAAATATCCGGGAAATACTGATCTCTTCTACCTACAACTGTTATCAGATCAGTACAAAGTAATTTCTCTGAATGTGGCCAAATTCTGTTAGGCTATGTCCAAAACTAGGCAGACTCTAATGCTCACTGATAATCCATCACCAATCATGATGTATCATTTTGTCTTTTATTTATTTTTATTTACTATTATTATTATTGTTTGTAATGCTTTTATTTGTGTAATGCTAATCTATGACTGTAATAAAAACTGATTGTATTGGATGTCTGTGGGAGAGGTGGTTAACTTGTGATAAGTCAATTGTTGTTGAATATATTTTGAAGGGTCATAGGTATTGCTGAAATGCTAGTAATCAGTACATTCAAACTGGATGCAGTTACTGCTTGTTTACTTCAACTGAAGTAATCAAATGGTCAGATAATGAAATTGCTTTCCTTTTTCATTGTCCCTGTCTGTAGCTTCACTTTTTCAAAAACAAAGAAATAGTCCTTTGCAACTCAATTTCAGATCACTTCAAATTAAGAAAATACTCAAGTTTTTCTATTTGGCTGTCTCTCAAATGCCTATTTGGCAATACTATCATTAATTTCACTCTGGAGTCTAAGGACGTTTTTTAAATAATGTTTTTTTCAGTCTGTTGGCAACTGATGTATAGCTTCAAGTTACTTTTTTTTAAAAAAGATGCTGGGTTTGACATTGTCATTGTCAGCAGCGTATCCCAGGAGCTGTATCATTTTGAAATATTGATCAGAACTCTTTAATTTGCACTCCAAATTTCCTTCCTTATTGGGATTTATCTGATACACTTGTTTTACATTATTTTTCCTCCTATTCTAGTGGTGTGGTGGCCTAGAGGAGAAGACACTAGTCTTCCACTTTTAAGGTTGAGAGTTCAATCCTAGGTAGTGGCAGATATTTCTCTGAGGGAGCAAAGAGAAAATATCGACTGTAGACTCCACGTGGCGTCAGGAAAGGCATCCAGCCAGTAAATGCTCAGCTCCATTCAGTCACCCTGACTGTGCTCCAAAATAAGGGATTACAGGGTCATAAAAAGAGTTTTTTCTTAATATCACTCAGATATCTTCTATAGCAGGGCTTTTCAGACATGACTGATGGTACGCGACCATCCTAGACAAGTGGTAGCAGGGGAGGGGAATGAGCTGAAGTGGCGGCAGCATCGTAGAAGCCTGACAGAGAAAGAGCTGGAGTTGCAGGGCTGTTAGGGCTCAGCAGTAGCCCCAGGATTTGTGCGCGTGGCTATGAGCTGATCGGTACTTTTGCAAGGCTATGGGTCTGGGCAGAATCCCCAGGATCAGCACTGGGCTCCAGCTGATTGATGCTTCCGGAAGCTGGAGGTGTCATGAAGAGAAAAGAGGAGGGGGGATAGAGGAGAGGATCTAAAAGAAGGTTTTGGCGGGAAAGGGCCAACGAGGGGCTGCTCCCGCCCCACCCCCTGGGTGCATGCACAGGAGGTGGCAAGGGCCCGACATCCTTGCTGACTGTCCCTGCTGACCGCTCAGAAAGAAAAGAGGCAGGAGAAGCACTTCCCTTTCCCCCAGGATGCCAGCGCTCCACACTTGCTGCCTCCTGTGTGCACACCCAGGGGGCAGGGCAGAGATGGTGGGGCAGCCCCCTGCTGACTCCAGGGCTGCTCCGTGGATCTAAGGCTGAGCGCGTTCCGCCTTCAATGGCTGCCACCAGGTTGTAGACCAGCGCCGCACCCACTTGCTGACCTAGCCTCCCAGCCACGAGGCTTTCCTTTCACCGGGACTGCCCCTGTCCATGTGGAATAGCTATGCCCGGCAGCAGCAAGACCACTTACAGCACTGGCAATCTCTTCCCCCTCCCATCATCCCTTCCTGAGCATGGAGTAAGGAAAGAGATGGGAATGAGAAGCAGGGAAGGAAGGAGGGGAGGAAGGAAGGAAGGAGATGGGAATGAGAAGGAGAGAGGGAGGGAGGGGGAAAAGGAAGGAGATGGGAATGAAGCAGGGAAGGAAGGAAGGAAGGAAGGAAGGAAGGAAGGAAGGAAGGAAGGAAGGAAGGAAGGAGAAGGAGGGAGGCAGGGAGGGAAAAAGGAAGGAAGGAGATGGGAATGAGAAGCAGGGGAGGGAGGGAGGGAGGAGATTATAATGAGAGGGAGGGAGGCTCTGAGGGAAGTCCTGCCTTAGCACTTGGCCCCAGCAGCCCTGCTGCCCTTTCGCCATCCCCTTGCCTCCTCCTCCTGGCCTCTTGGTGGTCTCCTATCCTATTGCAAAGGATGCTTTGGTTACAAAGGCGGTCTCCTCGCATGGAGAGGGAGTGGACCTCCCTCTGACCCACACACTTTGCCTTCCTGCATCCACCATGAGCAACCTGGCTGAGGAGAGAAGTGGAAGTGGGGCTGGACTGGGTTGAGCTGCAGGGTCTTAGTGCCTGGGAGCTTGAGGGCTGGGCTGGATGCTTGCTCTCTGCTGCGTAGGGCTCTGGGCAGCCTGCACCACCGTCCGGGAGTCCCCTGCATGGCCCAAGAGGGACTGCGAGGCTCCTCAGATGGACCATGCCCTGGTGCCCACCCCAGTCCCATTCTCCTCCATCAGAGACCCCCATCTAACAAAGGTACTATAGAAGGGGGGCTGATGGTGGGGTCTCTTTATTGAGGGCTCCCCTCCTATGTAACAACCTACCCTCCAGACCCCCTGCCCTCTGGTTTCCATTTTTTACTGCATTACAGAAATTGGTAAAAGACCTGGCTCTTCTGAAGAACCTTTGACTTGATTACAGAGCCACCAACATTGACATTAGAATATTTTAATTATATTAGTATTATTATTGTATATTTATTATTGTAAAGCGCCTAGAGTCTGACAGTTTTGTGGAGTTGTAAGAATATTAAGGTATTCCTCCCGGATGCTCCTTAAGGTGAAATGAAATTGAATACAGTTGGCCAATAAAAGTAGGAGTAGAGATAAGAGTATATGTAGTCTAGATGGTGGCTGGATTTGTATCATACCACTATTTTATATTACTGCTTTTCCTTTAAACAAGGGTATATTGCTGTATTTCTAGTTTAGATCTAGCTTCTCTGACTTTTCCCTTGTTTTGCTAGTGTCTCTTTCGCTACTAATCATCAGTCAGGTTGAATTGAATTCAAATATCTGAGCGTCTCAGTGTCTCACTATCATCTGCTTCCAATCTCATCTACCTCAATAGCTGGTCAAATACTGTTATAGCCACAGTGCAAGGATTTCATTAAAACATTGTTTTGAATGTAAGAGTATTCCACGTTACATAGATGAATTATTATCTTAACCCCACATAAGTTTACTATTTCAAGTGTTTGGGCTGTTGGCCAACATATATTTTATGTTTTAGTCATTTAGTCTATTTGATTTTTAATGGATTCTTTTTTTTTGTAGTTGCCAGCTGACAAAGCTGGGGAAAAAAATTATTTGGTAGATGAGAGGCATCTGGTATTGTAATCTTTCCCCTGTCAAATTAAATGTTGTTTACCATTTGGCCTTTTCTTATGAGTTGTACTTTAACTATCTTCAGAAGATCCATTCGGACTTAAAATGTGAGCAGAGCCGAGTAAGTAATTCTAATGACAAAGGCATATCTCTTGGCTTGGCCCACTTTATTGCTTTCGTATATACAGAGAATGCTTGCAAAATGGAAGGCTTCACACATACAAGTGTGTGCGCCAAGGCATATATACAAGTAGATGTGTTCCTTGATGTGAACCCACATAGCCCTGGTCACATGCTGATTTAGATAAGCATAAACGTCACAACCATCACAAATCACCCCATAATACCGGTAGTGGGGATAGGTTTCAGCATTCTTAAATAGAGTAGGATGACTTTTTAATGTTACGGCACTCGTGGTGATTTCCTTCTTTTTAAAAGCTGTTGCTGCAAGATTTTGTGTTCTCCCTGTGGTCACTATGTTGCAGAACAGGATGACCCGCCATCATAATTTTAAGAAATGAAAAGTTAGCTGTTCTAAAGTAATTCCTAACAATGTCATCCCAACATAATTTTTTTTAAAAAATATGATTCTTCTAAAATGTTCTTTCATTGCAGAAGAGTACAAATATCTCTTATAACATAATCTCAGCCAGAAAATTCTGTGTTGTCTTTTGAAGAAAATGGATCATAGGTATGCCTAATGCAGAGAGAAAGGGCTAGTCTTGCCAGTGGCTTATCTACTTCATGGTCTTTTTCTCTTGCTGTTTCAGAGTGATTACTCAAGTGACACTGACAGTGAGGACCATTTCCTTATGATGCCTCCCAGGGATCACCTTGGACTTAGTGTGTTCTCCATGCTCTGTTGTTTCTGGCCATTGGGGATAGCTGCTTTCTATTTGTCACATGAGGTATTTGTACAATTTTATTATTCCATTTAGCTTCGTATGGCAGATAGGCAATATTCCATTAGTTTAGAGATGTGATAAAATAAAATAAAAAATAAAAAAGTATTTTTTTTAATACCAAAAGTTATTTAAACATGCTGGTCCATGAGAAAAAACTCAGTCACAGTTGAACAATCCTTTTATTACCAATCAAAATGCCAGATATTCACAAAGTGAGAAATTTGTATGCTTCTATGTACTGTATGAATTTAAAATACCTGTATGGCCACCCATTTTATATGTCACAAATCTGAGCATCTCACAAAACCATCATAAATATTGATTTACATTGCTAACTTTACTTCTGATTAAATGTGCACAAGAAAGCACCAGCAAAATTGTGATCCCTCTGGGGGCTAACCTGTGATGTACAAGATCGAAAAATAGCTTTCCCAATATGATCTGCTCTGATGCGTTGGGAACAAAACCTCAGCAGTTCCCAGGTAATTCTGAGAATTGGTCTTTTTTTTTTTTTCAAATATAAATTTTTTATTGTTTTCAACATAAAAAAAAGCACATCACAAATACATCACAATTGAAAAAAACCCCTACCCCCCACCCCCCACCCGGACTTCCCAAACCTAATCCCAGGATACTATTCAACTAAAAGTAAACTAATATTAATATCCCTAACTCCACAAAGTGTTATTCTACATAAGTAGGTGAAATATATATATATATATATAAAAAAAAATTTTTTTTATCTAAAAACCTAACTTATATTCCACCATTCTATGCTTATTTTGAATATAAACAATCCATCTTCTCCATATTGATAAAAATTGTTCATTTGAATGATCCTTCAAATAAGCCGAAATCTTTGCCATTTCAGCAAGATGCGAAACCTTCAATCTCCAGTCCTCCATTGTAGGTAAAACTTTACTCT